TGCCTAATAATGTGTAGTAGATTCTCTCTCCTCAGACCATCTCGACCAGATTTCATTACCTACAACTAAGAACTGTGACCTTGGCACTGAGAATAATAATCCTAAATCTCGGTAGAGTAATTCTCAAAAGAATATCTCAATGAGTACCAAAATGAGGCTGCCACATGCTAGGTCTGCTTCTTTGCTTTATGGGCCTAGAAAACCATTCTTATTGTTCTGCAGGATGATCAGGTTTAGAAACATATGCATATGCCTGAAGCTGAAGCCCGAAAAAAACAAAAGACTGAAGTGGACACACCCATGAATTAATTAAATGGTTGAGATGTTAGGGAAATTTCTGCCTCAATTCAACCTACATGATTGTAAGCCTAGGTCAGGGAAACTGGGACTGAGTGTGAAGATGGCCAAAAGGAATCTCACAGACACCAATATATCAATGTATATAAGGATCAAAAACGTAACAGCAGAGGCACAGTGAGTGCAGCTTTGCAGTGTGGCCCTTCTGTTTGTCACAGGATGCTGTCAGCATGGGGACAAAGGTGGCAGAGCGGTCTGTGTGGGGATCAGCCACCAGCCCTAACATCCTGAATTGGGCCCCAAAATTCTTGTGCCATCCTCACATATGCACGTGTGGTTTGCATCCTCCATTTACCTGGACACACAATCACAACATGAAATGCCAAATCATAATCAAATGAGTGGGCGAAGGCATGCAGGGTAAAAGATGAAGGAATTTATACGACTTTGTGACAAACTCCTCAGATAACAGCTTGAAGGACTTGGCAGTAGGACTAGAAAGCTTCGAATTGGTTGACCCAGCATCGCCCTACCCTGGGCAGGTCTGGATGAGCATAATGAAGTTCAAACTTACTACCTTTTTATCTGCTTGTTGAAGTTTTCTTTAATACATGCTTCACTTCTCCTTCTAGGTAGTTTACTACAATCTGGACTCTGTTTTGACCTAAGTCCTAAGGTTTGACTGGAAAACCTTCTGGTCACCCATTTTCTGGTTAATTCTTAGACTGATTCATTTAGGGCAGAAGTAGGAAGGCAAGTTGATTTCTTGATTTACCCATCAAAAGACAATCTTATTTCCAAGTTCTTGGAGTAAGCCTCATTCAATCCCTCAAGTACTGACAACACTGATCTGCCAAGATTCTCAAGAAATACCTACCTACACAGTCTATCTTTAGGCCATAAGAATGAAGCCTGTGAAATTTATCTTGCCTCTAATTTTAAACTTAAATTTTAAGATCTACTTTCCCCTGCAAATGCGAACGATTATTCTCAGTCATTTTGACTGCACTTTGGTTGTGTTTGAATTATTTTAAAAATAAAAGTTTATTTTTTAAAAATTCGGCATTTAGATTACAATTTGAAGAAAAAAAGTATGATACAAAATTTATCTTTTATTCAACCAATATAGCCTGTCACTTTGTTATACATTTTATCCCATAAATGATGTGAAGGAACTTGGCAATTGAGTTTATCCTACTATATCTTTGCTATCCAAACTAGCAAAAAGTCAGTTTACACTTGGCATCAGTTTCGTAAGTTTCTTAAAAATAGAAAAAGTGGTCTTAAATTAATGTCACTTTGGGAGTTTGAGACATGGCTAATGGGTGGTAAATGCATCTCAGGGATTCTGTTAAAAGCTGTGTGTAGAAAGGCCAAAGAAGATGCATTTTCCCTTCTATTAGGGAGAATTTTGGCAATATTCATAGATACAGAAATCATTAAATAACACCAATTGTAAGTACATGCTCTAAACTTTACAAGTGTTTCCAAAATTCTATCCTTTAATATGCATTTCTGGAACAAAAGTAAATCTGGATAATTTAAAAAATTAGTTTATCATTTAATTATGCCATTATCGTTTTATTGCTGCAGTGCTACTTATATCATTATCCTTGATAGTCTTTCTTTCCTTTTGCTCTTTCTTCATCTCCTTTTTAAAGCACAAGATCAAGTACAAAAAGCATTTGCCATAATTTACAATAAAAATACAAGAACAATAAAACAAACACCATTAAAAAATACAAACCCAAACACCAGAATGGAAAGAGAATGGAAAACTCTATGTTAAAATTTCCTAGATATAGAAAGGTATTGTGATGAAGCCCCAAATTTAATGTTGGTCTGTTTAAATTCCTTGGCCCTTGGTTTAATCATCTGTCTCTCTCCCTTCCCTCCTACTCCCTCCTTCCCTCCCTCTGTCCCTCCCTTTCTTTCGATACAGAGTCTTGCTCTGTTGCCCAGACTGGAATGCAGTGGCACAATCTCAGCTCAACACAACCTCTGCCTCCCAGGTTCAAGCCATTTTCCTGCCTCAGCCTCCCAAGTATCTGGGATTACATGCACCCACCACCATGCCTGGCTAGTTTTTTTGTGTTTTTAGTAGAGATGGGGTTTCACCATGTGGATCAGGCTGGTCTTGAACTCCTGATCTCGAGTGATTCACCCACCTTGGCCTCCCAAAGTGCTAAGATTACAGGTGTGAACCACCATATCCAGCCAGCATCTGCTTTTTAAATCATATGTTTTTCCAAATTAAATTATTGCTCCTTTAAAATTTATCTCTTAGTGCCTTCTCTCTTCCATTGACTTCAGATTTAGCATTAACTAGTAGTGTGAATTTAGGTAAATCACTTGATCTAAGAAGATCAAGGTTTATTTTGCCACTAGTTTGGAGTAGGTGATCTTGACTTGTCTTGCAGTCCAAAATAAGAAAATGTATGTAAAATGTTTTTGTGAACAATTAGGTGCCAGTAATATAAAGGTTAGTTATTATTTCTGTTTGTATTTTATTTTTTTTCTGATTTCTGGACCCCCTCAACTGCTTCTAACACTCCCACCTCATGCATATCCTGGATAAGTTTTCCATTGCACTTTACTTAAAAGAAGACAGTGAGAGTACTAAAAATATTTAACGGCTTCTGGAATAGTGTCTGTGTATGTGACTGCAGGGAGAGGGGGTGTTCTTTTTTCCTGTTCTTTATTTATACACATATTAGGGGAACGGTTTCTATTTCTTTCAGCTATGTGAGGTTTTTGAACATGCAAGACCTCATCTGGATGTGGATACAAATGGCAAATAGCAATAGAATTCTGATTTCAATGGCTCTTGTTTAATCTATTCCATCAAGATTCCAAACCCTTGTAACCCACGTCTCCATCAGCCTCCTAAGCATTCTTGGAAGCCTCTAGTCAGATAACTCAATGCCAATATCTACCTTTTTTTTCCTTTTTTCTTCTCAGACCCATTTTAACTGGTTAGGACTCTGCTCCTCAGCCATTACTGCATCCACCAGGTTTTGTCCCACCTCCTGCTGCAGTGGAACCATTGGAGCTGGGGAGACGCCATGGCTGACAGGGTGCTGCTGTGGAGCTGGACGGCATGCCTCACTCCCCTCCCTGTGCAATAGTAGGAATGCTGTTGAGATATGGCACAGAGTCTTTGGTGAAAGTGGTCTTTCAGTTTTTACTTACGTTTCACACCCTCAGTTTCAAATATGAATTTGACACAGAGACAAATCGGAGTGATAAACCCACGAGCAGATCAGAATTTCCATTCCTTTCCAGGACTAAGCCATTCTTTCACAGTCAAGCTTGAGATACTTGTATCCTTTCCTCCATAGTTTGGTTTGCTTTCAGGAGGAGTTTCAATCTTCTAATGGCAGAGACTGACGATCAGTTCACCAGAAACGCCCAATATATTCAAAATGTGGAAATCATCATATTATTAACTCTTAGTACCAGAAATTGTGTAAGAGATGCAATTGACTTTAGGAAAAATACTTTAATATGTATCTTGGGTAGACAGAGGCTGAGACCCAAAGGCTTAGTGGTTGGACATTACCAAGACACATAGCTGCTAGTAGGTGAGGGTGAAGAGAAGGTAAATGAGGAGCAGGATGCTTTGGAGATAAGACAACATGGGGTCCTGCAAGGGAAGAAGGTATGAGAGAAACCTGTCAGATAGGGAGGCAGAAAGAATGTCAAAAGAATGAGTATGTCTTATAAGTGATTTTTCATTGATTACTGTGTGATTCCTATATTCTTATTCATTTTGGCTTTGGACAGAATAAAAGATTATAGAAAGTGTAGGCCAATGCCATTCAGATGTTATGAGGTAAGAGTGGTTCCCAGCTGACATCTGGATTGTATATAGGAAAAAAACCAACTATGTCTTAATATGGAGATGTTCCATCAAATTAACTCCAACTTATAGTACAATAGAGAGGCAAAAATTGAGCCAATGGAAACCATTTATAGTTGACACAATTAAATTGTCAATATTTGGAGCGGTATTAAGTATGAATCTGGATTGGGTAAATTGTCTGGTATTCTGGGGAAGAGTATAATGTTTTGGTGAATGGAAATGAAGGAGTTAAATTTTGACCTGAGTTGTAAAAGGATAAAGATATGATATCTGTAAGAAAAACAAATAAGAAAATTTGTATCATTAGATAAAAGTCCAGAAGAAGCCGGAGGAGAGAGAAAGCGAAAAAGATGGAGAGAGCAAAAAAGAGAGAGAGAGAGTGACCCCTTGACTAAAGAAAGTTAACTGAGGGCTTAGTATGTGAAGCATTCAGGGTACAAACAATAAGTTTTTGTGGGATGGTATTCATATTCATGTGTGAAGTAACTGGCAGTCATGGAAAGGTTAAAGTAATGTGTAGACCCCATGATTCTGACTGTCTTGTGTAGCATATACCAGCGGTATGATTCCAGAGTTGGCAAAGACGAAGGCAAGATGGGGTGGTCTTGAGAAATTTGGAACCAACCTGAGGATTATGAAAGGAAAAGAAAAGCAGTGGAAAAGGAGAGAGAAAGGGTTGATTATTTAGAAACAGATGGCTGTGAAAATGGAAGAGAACGAGGCCTGCATTCATGGTGATTCACAATGAATTGATTGATAAGAGCAATGCTCTTTACTGGTACTAATTATATCAATTGCACAGGAGTCTTGTACCCTGTGCCTCAGGCAAACTCTAGGCCTAGCACTTTCCCTTTAGAATTCTTTTCAATGTAGGGCTGCTCAGCATCAGTGAAGTGGAACGCATAGAGATCAAAGCATAGATGAAAGCTTCCCAGACCCATAACCAAGAACTCCTATCAAATAGAGTACCAAAATGCTGATAAGTATGGTTAGAAAGTAAGAGGCAAACATGATAAATAAGATGGCAAGGGACCTCAGGGCAGTGTAGTGTGCTTTCATGCTTGGGTTGCAGTGACTAGCAGTATGATGTTGCATCTTCTTGGTCAGTGATGCCATGAGCAAGATATTGGAGGCCAGGAACAGGGAAAAAGGAACAACCAACGAGACTGCTTTATGATACTGGAACAGATACTGATGAATCTTTTGAAGTCTGTCAGTTTCAGTGCTGTTTCTGGGTAGATGCTCCACGGTGAAAAACTAAATATGAATGTAATACCCAGTAGCTGAAGGGATGATTGTCACAAAAGTAATCATCAGAGAACCCAGTAATAGCAGGGAACCAACTTCAGAATTCTTCACCTCAGCCAGAGAAAGATGGGATGGGCGAAAGAAGAGATCTTGATGAAGTAGAAGACGGCAAGCAAGCTGTTTAACCAGAATGTAAGGATATTAAAAAATTCCCAGGTAATTTTTAAGTTGTAAAGTACAAAATTAAGGTTAAAATAGGAGCAAAAATTACTCTGCATTGATGCCCACTGTAGACAGAAGCGAGAGATGCCCAGGCTGATGAGAATCATGTACACAGGCATCAGCCTTCTGACTTGCAGCCATTCTCTGCCCAGCACTGCAACAATTAAGCTGCTCTGAACAAAAATTATCAAGGACTCAAGCACATAGATGATCATGAAGAAGATGGTGAGTTGGAAGGGTATCATTCTTCTACACCAAAGTATCTTCCTGGACAAAGACTCTGAATCTCTGTACCAAATTCCAGGTAGAGAATGGGTTCCTGATTCCACCAGTGTCTGGTTCAAGAAAACACCTCCCTCTGGAAGCAAATTTTCCCAAGCTCTTTTTTAAATTTTGCCATTTTCCTATCTATAGAATTTGTTTATGCTTTGCTTGCTGGCTTGCTATTACGTCCAAATATAGGGAAATATTATTTAAATGTGGATTCTGCTCCTGAGGTGATTTGATTATTCCAAAAAAGGCATACGTATTTCGTAACCATGTTGTTTATTTCCTCTTTGTCTGAGGTGCACTTAGCTTATTTTTTTTTAATCTTCTTTAAATGACATCTTTACTCTTTTAACCTAAAATTTGAGCTACAGGAAAGATGAATCCTTCCCTGTTCATTCATGTCCTACATGATGTTTCTGCTGTGTTGAGTGAGGTACCAAAGGGAATCTCAGAAGCCCTATCTTCCCACTCCTCCTGGCAGCCAGTGGTGGATGCTATAACCAAAGTGTGAGAGTAAATAAAAATGAAAATAAAACGTCTTTCCCCTGAAACTCCACAAAGTTGGTGGAACCCCAGACCTTCAAGTATTTCCATCCAATACAGGCCACTCTCATAACTGCCATTGAATTCCCCCAGTCAGGGAAATCAAACTGCAGAGAAAACACGGCACACTGCCCCTGTTAACTATTGTTCTTCTGCCAATTCCAATGCTTTGAGCACATATTTTGGAAATTATTCTTGTCTTATTAACATCAATGTTTTTTGTTTGTTTGTTTGTTTGTTTGTTTGTTTTATCTTACATGGCCAGGTTTTTTTTTGTCACTGCTCCCATTGCTCGGGTAGAATTGAAAGAGGACCCTCTTACCACTAGTAAAGCACATTTCTTCTAAAGGTACAGGAATAATTTCATAGCTATACAACCAGGCTAGAAAAGGAATACATTTTCCTTCAGTTCAGGACAACTCTTCCAAATAGACACCAAATATTTAATAAGTGGCTTTGGAAATGAGAGATGATTCTAATAATTGCTAGTTAGTGAGGGAGATGAAGTGAAAGTCATTGATGTTACGTGTGATAAACTTGGAGTCTGTACTGACCTTTAGTCATTCAAGGAAGACACTCATAGAAGCAAGCAAACATGAATCTTAGAATTCTTAAAGACAAAACAAGAAACTACTGAATTCATAATGGAAAGGTAAGCAATAGCTTAAAAAATTACAACCAAAACAGAATTAAGTGTAAGAAAGCATCTGCTTTGCATTCTCAATAAAATGCAAGAAACAGAAGATCAGAAGCTGAGATGACAAAACAATATCTATTATTAAAAGATAAATTGATTGAGATGTATCCAGACATAAGAAGGGAGAAAGATGAGATATGAAATGTTCGTATGTGAAATATGCAATAATAGCATTAACATCTGCCTTATGTCAATATAAAGAGAAATATATTCACCAGCATTCTAACTTATTTGGGGGAAAGTAGATCAATGCGTCTGGTCATTCCCAGAAGGTAAAGCAGTCAGAGCAAGGAACAGGATTACACTTTACCCAGCTACATGTGGAGGGAGGACATCACAGAGGGAGCACTGGGTGCTGAGAGGCCAGAGAAATGTTTGCCAGCAAGAAATAGAAATGTGCCTTTTGTCATGTGATTCTTCTGCTCAACTCAAGAAACTTACGAGAAAGTTCCTGACTAACGTAAATATGAATACTTTTGAGTTGTAAAGGAAAGGGACTCTGAATCCGGTTCTAATGAGAGGAACCACTGAGAAATGCTTGTGAACTCAGGAGTGCAGTCTTGAAAAGTCGAGAAAGTGAGGTGTGGGTCTTGTTGGAAAAGCTGACTGCCCTGAATCTAGAATTGGGATTTTTATCAAACTTTACCTGGATCTCAAAGGCTCATGTGATGATTGAGCTATATTTTTGGTTTCTTTACAAGGATAACCAACTATATCTGGGATTAAATTATCCTAGGATGGATGACCCAAAGTGCAATGTAAGTATTTCTGATTTCTGACAATCTCGTGCAGTGGAGTAGAAGCCAAGCTGAACCATGCCAGAATGTTTCTTAGAATTCTATTCCAGAGTCAGACAAAATGAACATAAATGCTCAGACAACATTACAGAATGAGAGAGGCATTGTTTTGGGTTTTTAGGGTATTTCAGACAAAGCTAGATGAACTTAGTCTAAGAGACTTTTTTCATATCCCATTTTGTTTTTAATTGATTAAAAATAATTATATATATATTTATGAGGTAAAATGTGATCTTTTAATACATATTTACTTTGTGAAATGATCAAATCAGGCTAATTAAAATATTCATCATTTCAAATACTGATTATTTCCATCACTTCAAATACCTATTATTTATTTGTGGTGAGAACATTTAAAATCTACTCTTTAAGCTATTTTGAAATGTACAGTACATAATTATTAACTATTGTCACCATGCTGTGTAAGAGATCGCCAGAACCTATTCCTTCTGTCAACTGAAACTTGGTACCCTTTGACTAATGTCTCTTCTTTCCCCATCACCCTCCCCAGCTTTCCCCTGCCTCTGGTAACCCCCATTTTACTCTCTATTTCTATGAGTTCAACTTTTTCAGATTCCACATAGAAGTGAGATCATGCAGTATTTGTCTTTCTGTGCCTGGCATATTTCACTTAGCATAATGTCCTTTAAGTTCATCCATGTCATCATCAATGACACAATTTATTGCTATCTAAAGGCTGAATCGTATTCTATTATGGACATATCAGTTGTTTCCATTTCTTGGCTTTTGTGAAGAAGGCTGCAATGAACATGGAAGTTCAGACATCTCTTTGGCATAGGGATATCAATTCCTTTGGATGTATACCCAAAAGTGGAATTGCTGATCATATGGTAATTCTATTTATAGTTTTTTAAAGGAAATTTCATACTGTTTTACAAAATGGCTATACTAATTCATAATATTAGGTTGGGGCAAAAGTAGTTGTGATTTTTTCCACTACTTTTAATGGCAAAAACTGCAATTACTTTTGCACCAACATAATATCACCAACAGTATACAAATGTTGCCTTTTCCCACAAGTCTATGATAATTTATCAGAGTCTAAAATATTCATTCTTTAAACCATAAGCTGGAAGTTGATGTTAACTATCCTCCTTTGGCATGCCAATTTTTAAACCATGGGGACCCTTTCTTTGGGGCATTGAGCCACTTCTTCTACCAGAAGTAAGTGACATAGTCATGGAATGGAGTTCCAGGGACTGGAGAGTTAAATGCTAAGTTGTAAGGGAGTGGAAGACTATACTTTTAGGGATCATTTCTATAGTTTGTAAGGGAGTGAGCCACTGAAATGTTGCAGGAGCATTGGTAGAGATGGAGAATACAAGGGAAAATTGGAGTTACATGTGGTCTCACAGTTGTCTCCCTGTACAACTCCATGGATGAATACCTAATGGTACTCAAACTGGCATATGATAGCATGTATGTCAAACTGCTGACCACAGGTAAAGAAAAGAGCTCTCTTTGACACGTGTTAACCAGTTTTAGAGCTTGAAAAGACTCCACAATTTGTTGTGGAGTAAAAATTTTAAAGATCAGGCCTAGTTCAAGGAAATCATAGGGAGAATAATTTATGACAAAATTGTACAAACTGTACATGAAAATATAGACTTAAAGAGATAAAGAGACATAAAGAGCTTTATTTCCCCTGTTCCCTCAAAGCCTAGTTTTCAGCTGTTTTTCAATTAGCCAAACACATTTTCTTCCTGTATTATTAACATTCAATAACAATCAGAATTGATATTTTTTTCATGTGGCAATGACTCCCAAATGATCTGCATTTTAAAATATATAAGGTAAATTATGTATTAATTATATAGAAATTAGAATATTTACTTAAGCTCAATGAATGATAAGAGACCAATGGCTTTTAGTGAGAACACTAACAATCAGGTTTAATTTTTGGTTTGAAGGTGAAGTGCTACATAAATGGGTGTTCACAGGTCTCTTGATTCAGCAACTAGGACACGGTAGCACAGAGTAGGCACTATCTGTTGAATGAATGATGAGTACAAGGAGAACAGACTGGAGAACTCTATATTCTACTTACTATATTACAAGTGCAAGGCCTAGAAAATCATGTAACAAGCCTCCTAACATAGTAGAGAAACATGTACTGTTATTACATGTAATTATATTCCTAAATCATTCTAATAACTAAAATTGGCAAAGATGCCAAAACCTAAGTGTGCCCAAATTGGCTTCTTTTTAGAGACAAACGTACATTTTGGGGCGTTTCATCTGAACAAATACACCAAAACTAAACAAGACAAATGGTGAGTATAAGTTCATCTAAATCATAGATCATCATGTAACATTATGATAAGAGTGGTTCCCATGATCTGCACTGCTGTTAAATGTGTATTAGAAAGCAGTATTTAGACCAATGAGATTGGTAAAATGGATGTGCCAAGTTACACAACCTGAATTCAATCTTTCTTTCTGGTCATGCCCCTATTACACGTTAGTTTCCCACTGTTGTAGACAAAATAATGGTTCCTCTAAATGTTTACGTACTAATCCCCCAAACCTGTGAATACGTTAGCATATGTGACAACTGAGACTTTGCAGATGTGAACTGTAAAATAATAAATTTATATTGTTTTCAGCCATTAAGTTGGTGGTAATTTGTTGCAGTGGCAGTAGGAAAGCAATACACACGCCAACTCTAAGAGCCAGATAACCAAACTCTTGTGTTACTTTATTTGTAATTTATAGGCACCTATACTGAGTAACTATGAAAATAATGAGTTCATACACAAGGGAAATGACAGTAGACAGAAGAGACTGAGACTACTGAGGCAAATTGGATTATACAAAAAGATAGGTCATATAGGAACTATTGATTATATACTTGAGTCTCACTGGAAAGGCTCGTAAGTGTCAGAGTTACACTTTGAAGTCAACCAGGGAGTTTCAA